AGTGGACTGGTGTGGGTCGCATCCTGGTGTTAGTGGACTGGTGTGGGTCGCATCCTGGGTGTTAGTGGACTGGTGTGGGTCGCATCCTGGGTGTTAGTGGACTGGTGTGGGTCGCATCCTGGGTGTTAGTGGACTGGTGTGGGTCGCATCCTGGGTGTTAGTGGACTGGTGTGGGTCACATCCTGGGTGTTAGTGGACTGGTGTGGCGCATCCTGGGTGTTAGTGGACTGGTGTGGGTCACATCCTGGGTGTTAGTGGACTGGTGTGGGTCACATCCTGGGTGTTAGTGGACTGGTGTGGGTCACATCCTGGATGTTAGTGGACTGGTGTGGGTCACATCCTGGGTGTTAGTGGACTGGTGTGGGTCACATCCTGGGTGTTAGTGGACTGGTGTGGGTCACATCCTGGGTATTAGTGGACTGGTGTGGGTCGCATCCTGGGTGTTAGTGCACTGGTGTGGGTCACATCCTGGGTGTTAGTGGACTGATGTGGGTCGCATCCTGGGTGTTAGTGGACTGGTGTGGGTCGCATCCTGGGTGTTAGTGGACTGGTGTGGGTCGCATCCTGGGTGTTAGTGGACTGGTGTGGGTCGCATTCTAGGTGTTAGTGGACTGGTGTGGGTCGCATAATGGATGTTAGTGAACTGGTGTGGGTCGGCATCCTAGGTGCTAGTGAACTGGTGTGGGTCGCATCCTAGGTGTTAGTGTACTGGTGTGGGTTGCATCTTGGGTGTTAGTGGACTGGTGTGGGTCGCATCCTTGGTGTTAGTGGACTGGTGTGGGTCGCATCCTGGATGTTAGTGGACTGGTGTGGGTCGCATCCTCGGTGTTAGTGGACTGGTGTGGGTCACATCCTGGGTGTTAGTGGACTGGTGTGGGTCGCATCCTGGGTGTTAGTGGACTGGTGTGGGTCGCATGCTGGGTGTTAGTGGACTGGTGTGGGTCGCATCCTGGGTGTTAGTGGACTGGTGTGGGTCGCATCCTGGGTGTTAGTGGACTGGTGTGGGTCGCATCCTGGGTGTTAGTGGACTGGTGTGGGTTGCATCCTAGGATGTTAGTGGACTGGTGTGGGTCCATCCTGGTGTTAGTGACTGGTGTGGGTCGCATCCTGGGTGTTAGTGGACTGGTGTGGGTCGCATCCTGGATGTTAGTGGACTGTTGTGGGTCACATCCTGGGTGTTAGTGGACTGGTGTGGGTCGCATCCTGGATGTTAGTGGACTGGTGTGGGTCGTCATCCTGGTTGTTAGTGGACTGGTGTGGGTCGCATCCTGGGTGTTAGTGGACTGGTGTGGGTCGCATCCTGGATGTTAGTGGACTGGTGTGGGTCGCGTCCTGGGTGTTAGTGGACTAGTGTGGGTCGCATCCTGGGTGTTAGTGGACTGGTGTGGGTCGCATCCTGGTGTTAGTGGACTGGTGTGGGTCGACATCTGGGTGTTAGGGACTGGTGTGGGTCACATCCTGGGTGTTAGTGGACTGGTGTGGGTCGCACCCTGGGTGTTAGTGGACTGGTGTGGGTCGCATCCTGGGTGTTAGTGGACTGGTGTGGGTCGCACCCTGGGTGTTAGTGGACTGGTGTGGGTCACATCATGGGTGTTAGTGGACTGGTGTGGGTCACATCCTGGGTGTTAGTGGACTGGTGTGGGTCGCACCCTGGGTGTTAGAGGACTGGTGTGGGTCGCATCCTGGGTGCTAGTGGACTGGTGTGGGTCACATCATGGGTGTTAGTGGACTGGTGTGGGTCACATCCTGGGTGTTAGTGGACTGGTGTGGGTCGCATCCTGGGTGCTAGTGGACTGGTGTGGGTCACATCATGGGTGTAGTGGACTGGTGTGGGTCCACCTGGGTGTTAGTGGACTGGTGTGGGTCGCATCCTGGGTGCTAGTGGACTGGTGTGGGTCACATCATGGGTGTTAGTGGACTGGTGTGGGTCACATCCTGGGTGTTAGTGGACTGGTGTGGGTCACATCCTGGGTGTTAGTGGACTGGTGTGGGTCACATCCTGGGTGTTAGTGGACTGGTGTGGGTCACATCCTGGGTGTTAGTGGACTGGTGTGGGTCCACATCCTGGGTGTTAGTGGACTGGTGTGGGTCCATCCTGGTGTTAGTGGACTGGTGTGGGTCACATCCTGGTGTTAGTGGACTGGTGTGGGTCGCATCCTGGGTGTTAGTGGACTGGTGTGGGTCGCATCCTGGGTGTTAGTGGACTGGTGTGGGTCGCATCCTGGGTGTTAGTGGACTGGTGTGGGTCGCATGCTGGGTGTTAGTGGACTGGTGTGGGTCGCATCCTGGGTGTTAGTGGACTGGTGTGGGTCGCATCCTGGGTGTTAGTGGACTGGTGTGGGTCACATCCTGGGTGTTAGTGGACTGGTGTGGGTCGCATCCTGGGACAAAACTGACCTAATTTGCGGGAAATGCTCAGTATAACAAGCGACTTTCTATACAGTAGTATGTTACTGATGTCAACTATGGTCTGTATAAGTTGTATTAATTACTTGTAGAAATAATAATAATAATAAATAATAATAATAATAATAATAATAATAATAATAATAATAATAATAATAATAATAATTAATAATAATATATTATTATTATTTATTATTATTATTATTATTATATTATATTATTATTATTATTAATATATTATTAATTATTATTATTATTATTATGACCTTTTACTCAAGGATTGTCGGATATATCTTGATCCGAGGAAGTGGAGCGGCCCTCTCCGTCCTTGGATCAAGCACAATGAAACAAATCACTGGGGGAAGCCTTAAACCCGTAAGGGGCATACGACGCCTGAGGAGAGAGGAGGAGGGGAGAGGGGGAGGAAGAAGCCTCATGGGGGGTACCCATGGGTAGGAGGACAGGCGACTCCGGTTCTTCGGATCAAAAGCCTCATTATTGGGGTTCTTGATCCGAGTGGTTGGAAGAGAAGGAGAACAGAAACACAATTTTTTGCGTCCGGTGTATTGAGCCTGAAGCACAGTCCAGCTTTACTTAATATATATATATATATATATATATATATATATATATATATATATATATATATATATATATATATATATATATATATATATATATATATATATATACATATATATATATAATGGGGATGTGGTATGTTTAAAATCAAATATTGAACCAGCGTTTTAAAAAATAAACCAGCCTCTCAGATATTAAACCAGTCTATCAAATATTAAACCAGTCTATCAAATATTAAACCAGTCTATCAAATATTAAACCAGTCTATCAAATATTAAACCAGTCTATCAAATATTAAACCAGTCTATCAAATATTAAACCAGTCTATCAAATATTAAACCAGTCTCTTAAATAATAAACCCGCCTCTCAACTAATAAACCATCCTATCAATATTAAACCAGCCTCTTAAATAATAAACCAGCCTATCAAATATTAAACCAGCCTCTTAAATAATAAACCGGCCTCTTAACCTTTTAAATAATAAACAAGACTCTTAAATCCTAGCCACTCCTCACACTCAGAATCCTAACCACTCCTCACACTCAGAATCCTAACCACTCCTCACACTCAGAATCCTAGCCACTCCTCACACTCAGAATCCTAGCCACTTCTCACACTCAGAATCCTAGCCACTCCTCACACTCAGAATCCTAGCCACTCCTCACACTCAGAATCCTAGCCACTCCTCACACTCAGAATCCTAGCCACTCCTCACACTCAGAATCTTAGCCACTCCTCACACTCAGAATCCTAGCCACTCCTCACACTCAGAATCCTAGCCACTCCTCACACTCAGAATCCTAGCCACTCCTCACATCAGAATCTTAGCCACTCCTCACACTCAGAATCTTAGCCACTCCTCACACTCAGAATCCTAGCCACTCCTCACACTCAGAATCTTAGCCACTCCTCACACTCAGAATCCTAGTCACTCCTCACACTCATAATCCTAGCCACTCCTCACACTCAGAATCTTAGCCACTCCTCACACTCAGAATCCTAGTCACTCCTCACACTCATAATCCTAGCCACTCCTCACACTCAGAATCCTAGCCACTCCTCACACTCAGAATCCTAGCCACTCCTCACACTCAGAATCTTAGCCAATCCTCACACTCAGAATCCTAGCCACTCCTCACACTCAGAATCCTAGCCACTCCTCACACTCAGAATCTTAGCCAATCCTCACACTCAGAATCCTAGCCAATCCTCACACTCAGAATCCTAGCCACTCCTCACACTCAGAATCCTAGCCACTCCTCACACTCAGGAAATGTCGTATGGAACAGTGTAGCAGCACAAACGATGTTTCGCTCGAGCTAGTATTGTGGAGATGTCCCTCTGAGGAGCTTAGTAGTCATGCTGAGACGATGTTTCGCCCCCCTGGGGAGCTTAGTAGTCATGCTGACACAATGTTTCGCCCTCAAGAGAGCTTAGTAGTCATGCTGACACGATGTTTCGACTTCTGGGGAGCTTAGTAATCATGCTGAGACGATGTTTCTCCCCCTGGGGAGCTTAGTAGCCATGCTGACACATTGTTTCGCCCTCTGGGGAGCTTAGTAGTCATGCTGAGACGATGTTTCGCCCTCTGGGGAGCTTAGTAGTCATGCGGCTTTACAATGAGGGAAACGTTTTTGTGTCTGTGTTTACAGTGAAAAGCGGGACTTTTTCCGCGAATAATTTTGACGTGTGTTTTGCGTTCTGTTGGTGCAGTGACCAGCATATGTGCGTAGTCTGGTCACTGTAGTTGTGGTGGTCACTGTAGTTGTGGTGGTCACTGTAGTTGTGGTGGTCACTGTAGTTGTGGTGGTCACTGTAGTTGTGGTGGTCACTGTGTGGGGAGATGTGGTGGTCACTGTAGTTGTGGTGGTCACTGTAGTTGTGGTGGTCACTGTAGTTGTGGTGGTCACTGTAGTTGTGGTGGTCACTGTAGCTGTGGTGATCACTAGCTGTGGTGGTCAATGTGGTTGTGGTTCACACATGTGGTTGTGCTGTGTGTCAGATATCACTGTAGCAGTGGTGGTCACTGTAGCTGTGGTGGTCATTGTAGTTGTGGTGGTCACTGTAGTTGTGGTAGTCACTGTAGTTGTGGTGGTCACTGTAGATGTGGTGGTCACTGTAGTTGTGGTGGTCACTGCATCTGTGGTGGCCACTGTAGCTGAGATGGTCACTGTACTTGTGATGGTCACTGTAGCTGTGGTGGTCACTGTGGTTGTGGTGGTCACTGTAGCTGTGGTGGTCACTCTGTGCCTGTGACCTGATACAATTGTTACTGCTGACATCAGTAGCACTGTTGTGGGTCATCTGACACTGCTGACATTAGCACACTGCTGTAGGTCAGCTGACACTGCTGACATCAGCACATTGATGTAGGTCAACTGACACTGCTGACATCAGCACACTGCTGTAGGTCAGCTGACACTGCTGTGGGTCAACTGACACTGCTGACATTAGCACACTGCTGCAGGTCAGGTGACGCTGCTGACATTAGCACACTGCTGTAGGTCAGCTGACACTGCTAACATCAGCACACTGCTGTAGGTCAACTGACACTGCTGACATCAGCACACGGCTGTAGCTCAGCTGACACTGCTGGTAACGATGGTTGTTGGTGGTTGTGGTGGTGCTGGTAGCATGGGCTGCTAGTGGTTGTGGTGGTGCTGGTAGCATGGGCTGCTAGTGGTTGTGGTGGTGCTGGTAGCATGGGCTGCTAGTGGTTGTGGTGGTGCTGGTAGCATGGGCTGCTAGTGGTTGTGGCGGTGCTGGTAGCAACGGCTGTTAGTGGTTTTGGTGATTCTGGTGGAGATGGCTATTAGTAGTTGTAGTGGTATTGGTGGCAAGGGTGTTGTTAGTGGTTGTGGTGGTGCTGGTAGCAAGGGTGGCTAGTAGTTGTGGAGGTACCGGTGGCAAACGCTGTTAGTAGTTGTGGTGGTGCTGATGGCAAGCACTGTTAGTAGTTGTTGTGGTGCTGGTGGCAAGGGTTGCTAGTAGTTGTGGTGGTACCAGTAGCAAGCACTGTTAGTAGTTGTGGTGGTGCTGGTGGCAAGGGTTGCTAGTAGTTGTGGTGGTACCAGTGGCAAGCACTGTTAGTAGTTGTTGTGGTGCTGGTGGCAAGGGTTGCTAGTAGTTGGGGTGGTACCAGTAGCAAGCACTGTTAGTAGCTGTTGTGGTGCTGGTGGCAAGGGTTGCTAGTAGTTGGGGTGGTACCAGTGGCAAGCACTGTTAGTAGCTGTTGTGGTGCTGGTGGCAAGGGTTGCTAGTAGTTGGGGTGGTACCAGTGGCAAGCACTGTTAGTAGCTGTTGTGGTGCTGGTGGCAAGGGTTGCTAGTAGTTGGGGTGGTACCAGTGGCAAGCACTGTTAGTAGCTGTTGTGGTGCTGGTGGCAAGGGTTGCTAGTAGTTGTGGTGGTGCTGGTAGCAAGGACTGCTAGCAGTTGTGGTGTTGCTGGTGGGAACGGTTGCTAGTAGTTGTGGTGGTGCTGGTGGGAACGGTTGCTAGTAGTTGTGGCGGTGCTGGTGGGAACGGTTGCTAGTAGTTGTTGTGGTGCTGGCAGTAAAGGCTACTAGTGGTTGTGGTGGTGCTGGTAGAGATGACTGCTAGTAGTTGTTGTGGTGATGCTGGTGGCAAGGGTTGCTAGTAGTTATGGTGGTGCTGGTAGCAAGGGATGCTAGTTGGTGTAGTATTGGTCAGTCTCCTGTTAACAGAAGAACCTTCGTATGGTTGCCTTGATGCTGACTGAGGTTCTTGACCCGCTGATGCTGACTGAGGTTCTTGACCCGCTGATGCTGACTGAGGTTCTTGACCCGCTGATGCTGACTGAGGTTCTTGACCCGCTGATGCTGACTGAGGTTCTTGACCCGCTGATGCTGACTGAGGTTCTTGACCCGCTGATGCTGACTGAGGTTCTTGACCGCTTGATGCTGACTGAGGTTCTTGACCCGCTGATGCTGACTGAGGTTCTTGACCCGCCCTCACGGTTAAGCACAGAACCATGACAAGTTTAGTGCTGAACCAAAATTATAATGATCGTGAGAGTCGTGCTGGTTGCTGAGGTGATATGTGGCTGCTGTTGAGCCTTGAATCTGTCACTTGACTGTCTAGCATGATGTAAACCTTGGATACTGATAAAGTGGTTTTATTTTTTTTTTGTTAGAAGTGATCAAAGTCTCAAGACTGAAGCGTTTTCATTTAAATGTGTCCTATTGTTTGTTCAAGTGTTATGTGACTGGGCTATGAACAGGCTCTCTGGTCCCTAGTCTGGTGGAGACGCGGGTGTTGTACCACAGTTGAGGAAAAGATATATTTTAGAACACTCTTCGGACCGAATGATGTTTCCTTCGGCAGTGACATAATCAAAGCTTGTTGTTGTACGTGTGTCTGCTCATCAATGTTGTGGGCAGTACGGATCTTTAGATCCTTGCCATAGTTAAGACAAGAGTGAAGGTCTAACATACTTGCCCTCAGGACTGATGCGCTGGGCACACACGCACCCAACAGACACCATCTCCTGCATGGGTATGAACTGGTCTTGGTGACGCACCCACATCCTGACGGGGCGACGCACCACCTGACACCTGAAGTCTCCACCCAAGTTGGAGCAAGTCTCCCGCTGGCACAGGCACTTAATCTCCACCACGTTGGGGGGCCACACGTTCTCCCCCAGGTGCCGTGTCTGCAGCTTGGAGGGACACATGCCCAAGTGCACGGTCTCCCTCACCCACAATGGCTCGAGATAGTGCTCCGTCAGATCAACACTGTACAGTTGTACGGAGAGGTCCTTACACACCTCCTCCTCTGCCTGCACTTGGGAAAACTGGACGAGAGCTTCAGGCACCGACAGGTACTCCTTTCTCCAGCTCTGCTTCACTTCAGAAGCGGGGATAATGTTAGTCATCCCACGATGACATCTGGGTGACCTGCATAGGTGGGAGCGCTTGTTGAGTCTTCCTTCAGCGGGTGTTGTAGCTTGTAACACCTCGCTGTTACCTCCCTCGCTCTGCCCCAGCTGCTCCCCGGGCAGCACTATCGACATCGCTGAGTCCTCTTCGGATAAGGTGGCTAGATCCGAGGCTGTCTTAGTGGTGGAGTGCGAGGTGTGGTAGCGAGGCTGGCTCTGTGGGAGGGGAAGGACAGCAGTAAGCCACCACCACTGTGGCAATGCCCATGACGACACGCCCACCTGTCCATCTTCTCCGTCGTTCTTGAAGGTGTTCGCAAGAGCCACCTCGCTGCCTGAAGCGACGCTGACGGAGAGGCTCAGGGCAGTTACTAACAGGTGTACCGCCGCCAGACTCAACATGGCGCTCCTGCCTCGTCCCTGCGCCTGAAAGCACCTGTAAAAGAGGCGACTTTGATGGTCACACACTGTTAGAAACGCCATTAACCCAACGGAAAGACAGGTAAAGGTGGAGAGAGGAGTCCTAGCAGGTGGTTGCGTATCCCCAGCTGCCACCCAGATGGACACTTCCCTGGCGGATTCTTCCTTATATACGAAGCTTTACGCCTTCAGAAAGGTCATTCCATTACAAAACTACACAGTAAGCAATGGTTGGCTTCAAATTATCATCTCCTAATCAAGACGTGAGCCTTGTAGGGGTTGATGCCTAGCCAAGGGTGCCTATTATTGCTTTCTATAATTACTGAAGCCGGAGGCGGCGATAAGAAGGAATTAATGAAGTATTGATGAAGGGGAGAGGGGAGGGAAGCCAGAAGAATCTGTGAACACAGCTATTTTCATCTGGGATCGTATGAGCGAGACTCCAGCAGTGACACTATCACTGCTTTCATCATGTAAGACTCCAGCAGTGACGCTATCACTGCTTTTATCATGTGAGTGAGACTCCAGCAGTGATGCTATCACTGCTTTCATCATGTGAGTGAGACTCCAGCAGTGACGCTACTATCACTGCTTTCATCATGTGAGTGAGACTCCAGCAGTGACGCTGCTATCACTGCTTCCATCATAATGCATCATAAACATCATATGACCAATGCAAAAAATGTATTCACAACTGCATCAACTGGGATGTCCTGACTATGGGTCAGGTAGGTGATCATAGTTGCCAATATGACGTATTTCAGAGCATAGTTCTAGCTGCCCAGACATCTTTTGTTCCGAGTAGGGAAATTATATCTAACAAAAATGATCCTAAATGGATGAACAATAGATTAAAATATCTCATTGGTCAAAAGAGAGGCATATATAGGCGTGTCAAAAGAGGGAATGGACAGTTAAGAAATCAATATATTCAATTAAAGAGAGAAATAAAAAAAAAGAATAAGAAAAGCAAAAAGGGATTGTGAGGCTAAAGTCGCAAGGGATTCGAAGACTAACCCAGAAGGGTTCTTTCAGGTATATAGAAATAAAATTAGGGACAAGATAGGCCCACTTAAGAGTAACTCAGGTCAGATCACTGACAGTGAAAAGGATATGTGTGAAATTCTCAATACCTACTTCCTCTCAGTTTTTACTCAGGAAAATACTAGCGAAATTCGAGAAATAATAGATTATGTAGAACAGGACGATAATAAACTATGCATGATTGCGGTAACTAGTGACATGGTCCTCAGACAAAAAGAGAAACTAAAACCTAACAAATCCCCAGGTCCTGATGAACTGTTTGCAAGGGTGTTAAAGGAATGTAAAGAGGAACTTATCATACCTTTGGCTAATCTTTTTAACATGTCACTACAAACTGGCATAGTGCCTGATAAGTGGAAAATGGCAGATGTAATACCTGTTTACAAGGCAGGTGACAGGCTTCGAACTATAGACCAATAAGCCTTACCTCCATAGTGGGAAAATTTATGGAATCAATAATTGCCGAAGCAGTTCATAGTCATCTTGACAGGCATAAATTGATTAATGAATCTCAACATGGGTTTACAAAGTGGCGTTCCTGTCTTGCGAATTTACTAACTTTCTTTACTAAGGTATTTGAGGAGGTAGATCATGGTAATGAATATGATATTGTGTATATGGACTTCAGTAAGGCTTTCGATAGAGTTCCATATCAGAGGCTGTTGAGGAAACTTAAGGCACATGGAATAGGAGGAGAAATTTTTTCCTGGGTAGAAGCATGGTTAATAAATAGGCAGCAGAGAGTCTGCATAAATGGGGAGAAATCAGAATGGGGGCACGTCACAAGCGGTGTTGAAGATTGAGACACTTATGCAGCATATGGGAATCTTTATTCAGGAAACGTTTCGCCACACAGTGGCTTCATCAGTCCAATACAAAGAGGAAGGCGTAAGGAGAGGAGGAGAATGAGGTAATCAGTCCCTCAACCTGGAGTCGATGTGTTCAGTCCATCAATCTTGCGGTGTTCCTCAGGGGTCAGTGTTGGGCCCGTTGTTGTTCACAATCTACATCAACGACATAGATGAGGGAATAAATAGCGACATAAGCAAATTTGCTGATGACACCAAAATAGGCCGTCCAATTCATTCTAATGATGACACTAGAGCACTCCAGGATGATTTGAATAGAGAAGTGGCAGATGCGGTTTAATATAGATAAATGCAAAGTTATGAATGTTGGACAGGAAAATAACCATACCACATATAAACTAAATAATGTACATCTTAATATTACGGATTGCAAAAAGGATTTAGGAGTTCTGGTTAGCAGTAATCTAAAACCAAGACAACAGTGCATTAGTGTTCGCAATAAAGCTAACAGAATCCTTGGCTTCATAGCAAGAAGCATAAATAATAGAAGTCCTCAGGCTGTTCTTCAACTCTATATAGCCTTGGTTAGGCCTCATTTAGACTATGCTGCTCAGTTCTGGTCACCGTATTACAGAATGGATATAAATGCTCTGGAAAATGTTCAGAAACAAAGATGATCCCATGTATAAGAAATCTTCCCTATGAGGATAGACTGAGGGCCCTGAATCTGCACTCTCTAGAAAGACGTAGAATTAGGGGGGATATGATCGAGGTGTATAAATAGAAAACAGGAATTAATAAAGGGGATGTAAATAGCGTGCTAAAAATATCTAACATAGACAGGACTGGCAGCAATGGCTTTAAATTGGAAAAATTCAGATTGAGGAAAGATATAGGAAAGCACTGGTCTGGTAATAGAGTTGTGGATGAGTGGAACAAACTCCCGAGTGCCGTCATAGAAGCTAAGACGTTGTGTAGTTTTAAAAATAGGTTAGATAAATACATGAATTGGTGTGGGTGGGTGTGAGTTGGACCTGACTAGCTTGTGCTACTAGGTCGGATGCCGTGCTCCTCCCTTAAGTGATGTGTCTGACCTCACTAGGTCAAGGCATTGGCTTAAGCCGGTGGGAGAATTGGACTTGCCTCGCATAGGCCAGTAGATCTGTTGCAGTGCTTCCTCTTTCTTATGTACTTATGAACAAGCGCTAGATATAAGAACATAAGAACATAAGAAAAGAGGAACACTGCAGCAGACCTGTTGGCCCATACTAGGCAGGTCCTTTACAATTCATCCCACTAACAAACATTTGATAAATTAGACACATATGCAACTGAGGTGGTCAGTCCCTCAGTCTGGAGAAGAGCATTGTTCCATAGTATGAAACAATATGATATATCAAGACATATCAAGAACATCCAGTACCAGCTACAGCCGGACATGATTGTCTGGTAAGGTCAGTTCACGGGTAAGTTCTGGTAAGGTCAGTTCACGGGTAAGTTCTGGTAAGGTCAGTTCACGGGTAAGTTCTGGTAAGGTCAGTTCACGGGTAAGTTCTGGTAAGGTCAGTTCACGGGCAAGTTCTAGTAAGGTCAGTTCACGGGTAAGTTCTGGTAAGGTCAGTTCACGGGTAGGTTTTAAGAATGGGCAACAAGAACGCCTCGCAGCTATCTAATATCTCCAGAGGACTTACATCAGCGGTGCAGTGATGTCAACTTGACAATACTGAAAATCACCCTTATACACAACTAACCTGAGTCCCAGTCGTGGCTTTGTCTCCGTAGATGCCTTCCTTTCTCTTTACATTGTCTAATGATCCATACTTCAGAATACTCGGGATTTCGGTATTAACCTTGGTAATAGATACCGATACCTTGATAATAGATACCGTTTCGGTCCCCAGGACCAAAACGGTATCTATTACTTGTCTTTCTAAACTACTTGTGACTCACCTGATCGCCTGACCTCTTCTTTTCTATATTTCCTTATATTTTCTTCTGCCTAGGTGGGCTCTGTCCTCTGGGGTCCTGTTTAAAATGGCATAAAATGTTATCAAGTTGATGATTAAGACACATGTGCAACAGTTGGGTGTCTTTATTAATGAAACGTTTCGCCTACACAGTAGGCTTCTTTAGTCAAATACAAAGGCAGCAGTAGAAATGAAATAAAGACGATGTAATCAGTCCATCAACCTTGGAGAAATAGCATTCGAGGTGGTGGGTCCCTCAGGCTGGAGAAGAGTTGAGCTCCATGGTTGTTCCAGACCTTATTGCCATCTCTACCAATGCTTTTTCTACTACTAGTACCACCATTTTTTCTTCCTCTCGTTATACTGCTCCAGTTCCTGTCCCTCTTTTGTATATATTCCGGCTCCATTTCCTTCGCGCCAGTCCTGGGAACCTCTCGAGTCACTCAGGCTGCGGCCCGAGCTCCGGGAATGACTTAAATGGAGCAGAGTTTTTGGGAGTTGAGATCCTAATCCCAGCGAGAACACTGGTCCTGAGATACCAGAGATTTGGCCCTGGCTCCTACACCAGCGAGCTGTATGCGTGCTGTGCCCCAGCTACAAGGCGTTTACAATAATTATAACTAACTGCTACGCCACTTATGCTGAAAGGGACTCACCGTGCCCTTGCCATAAAGCTGCCCCCACCGTAGGGCTGTAAATGGTACTCCACCTGACTCGAAGAAGTCTCACCGTGCCTTTGTGATAGGGCTGTAAATGGTATATAACTTGTACCAACTCCTACACTCCTGCGGGAGCCACTGACGGGTCACCTTCTGGCGAAGACCCGTGTCAGGATTTCGTTGCTGACCAATTTATTTTCGTCAACCTTTCGCACTTCTGTGTGACTAGTTAGTGATCCAAGTCGGACCGAAACATCGTCATGAGTTTCAGTCTCCTATGCTGCACAGCATATGTTGTACTTTCTTCAAGATTGGTGGACTGAACACATCGATTCCAGGCTGAGGGACTGATTACTTCAAACTCCTCTCCTATTTCCACCGTTCTTTGCGTTGGACTGATGAAATCACTGTGTGGCGAAACGTTTCCTCAATAAAAATTCCCAAATGTTGCACAAGTGTCTCATTCTCCAACTTGTCGGTTTTCTAAAACATTCATCACGAAGTAAACCTGAAAGAGATTAAGTCAGGTGGGAATGTTGCAGTCTGTTGAGTCATCATTTGATGGTGATGGCCAAACCCTTCTGGAAAGTGAGCTACGGAACGAGTGATAGTTAATGTGCTTTCTTCTATGAGTATAGCTTGGGATGGATGGTAGTGGCGGGAAGTACTTTTTCATTATAATTAACAAAGGGATACCATATACCAAGTACTGGAATTCTTCCAGCAGGGACTGGAGTCCCTTACACACGACTGGAGTGTTTTCTTACACATCACATGATATTCTATCAGGTACTGAAGTTTTCTTACGCATTTTTCCCCCTGAATGCCACTCATATGTCTTGGCTAAGACAAGGTACCAGTAGGGAAGCAGGTGTGTAAGGAATCGAACTCGGGTCCTTGTGATTGTGAGGCTAATGCTCCCTCCAGTGAGCTACGCGGTACTTCGGGGGATGGGGGGGGAAGCAGCAACAGCAGCATCCCAGCAGCAGCAGCAGCAGCAGCAGCAGCAGCAGCAGCAGCA